GGACACCAAGCTGTGCGACTCAGACTTCAGTTCTGCAGTTGTAAGTTCAAGTCTCTTATTCACTTCAATATCTACTATTTTCTAATCACATTGGTAGAATGTTAGGATCTTGCCCTTTGGGTGCATGCAAACAACAAGCATCGATATCTAAGTGATATCTCTTATAAGATTTCATAATCCAGAAATTGAGCTTTACTAAGTTGGCTTCTTGTCATTTATTTTTAAGAGCACTTAAGAAGAACACAGCCACAAAGGCCATCAACCAAAGAAGCCATACAAGCTCAGAGATCACATGGCAACACACAGTATGATGGCAACTCACAGGACAATGGGGCACAGCCCCAAAAGGCAGAATGTCATCTGTCACCCTCTTGGTATCTGACACACACGTGCATGCACACACACTCCTTGGTATATCTCTATCTTCTTACCTACCCTTCTGAGTTCCCCATCTTCTTTCTTTTTTTTTTTTTTTGTAAATAAGTTGTGTTTTCATAAAATAATTTGTTGCGTTTACGTTGTGTGAGCCCATCACCATCTGAAGGAGGGGAACAATCTACCTCCTGAGAAGAACCCTCTTTATTAGTCCAAGGGTTTATCACCATCTCTTTTGTAATTAGTTCATAAAATAATTTGTTATGTGTTTTACAAGAGTTAAATGTTTGCAATCTTTAGAATACTTGTATTTGCCCAATAATCTGGCTATATTGTTGCACTTTAAAGGGTGTCTGCCCCCACACCTCAACTGGTAGATGATTCCAGAGGAGAGGGGCCTGATACCTCAAAGCTCTCCAACCAGAACACTTTTTAAAGGCTCTAAGTACGATGGGCAGACCTGCATGTTGGGACTGCAATGTTCTAGAGGGGTGAAAAGAACCTAAAAGCTCTTTAAGATATGATGTTATATGAACATGAAGAGCCTCGTAAGTCAGAAGAAGAATTTTGAATTTTATCCTGAAGTTAATGGAAATCTGACCAATTCATGGATCCTTGGGTGAATCAACCAGCACCCGAGAATACTCTTTAATGAGTAACTGTAGAGACAACAAAACCTCTGTTAACAGTTTCTGCAGCTCAGAAACAAGCCAACATCCAATTCCAACAGTAAGTATTAAGGACATTTTTATGAACTGTATGAAATTGTAGTGACTGGGATAAACTGTCTTTGTTTGTTTTCCCAGTTATGCGTATAATAAGGGGGGGAATGGCGTTCTTCAGGAGAACAGAAACAAAACAATAGAAGTGGCATCCATGGCATCTTAATGTTCCTACCTTATCCAGTATTATATACACTGTTACATGTAAGAAACGTGGAAAAAAAAACAAAAAAATCCTAAATAGGTGCAGTGATGCTCAGAGTGGGGTCTTCCTCTATAGGGGGTCTCATTCCTGCGGCTCAGCTCCCATCATTAGATAACCGCTGATGCATATTGACCCTTGGGCTGCATTACACAGACCATTCCTCTGCTTGGCTCTAATTTAGCGCTTATCTGCCCTCTGGTGCGCCTGCAGACACCCCCCAGCTGCCCCATATCTGTTGGCCAGCTCACAGTGGGGACACCAGGAAGATGAGATAAGATGCATTGCACCCTGGGGAGTGACCAGATCGCTTTCGTTGACCACTGGTGTATGTGTGTGTGAGTGTGTGCAGGATGTCCATTTGACCACATGGCCTTTCAGTGTTGATGCCTCTCTGCTGGTGTCATGATAATTGTATTATGTGTGTGTGTGTGTGTGTGTGTGTGTGTGTGTGTGTGTGTGTGTGTGTGTGTGTGTGTGTGTGTGTGTGTGTGTTTGCCATGTATCAGAGCTTCAGCACTGCATCAGATTTATTTGGCTGTGGGTCAAAGCACCGGCTGATCTCACCAGTTTCACTTGGTTTGTGTCACTTACAGACACACAGCGAGGACAGTTGTCAGTAACATTGATTTATTACCCACAGTGCACCGCCTGGCTGCCACACTGCAGCCCTTTAAGGGGATATCAGTTTATTGTTCCTCTCCTCTATTGGATTTCATGGCATTTTATTTTCACAACATTCAATGAGTCCAAACAGAGCAACAGAGAACAAATCAATATGAGAAAGTGTAACACCAGAGCCTACACGCCCACACCCCCAACTGCACTGCTTCATCTCCATAGAAAACATATTAGAGATACTCTAAAGCTGACTGTGACTCTCTGCACTATAACTTCTGCATTATAATAACAAACATGCAGATTAACAACAATGACCTAGTGGTTTGCACAAAACAAAGAGGGATCCATTAGTATTAAGCCTCTGTTTTGGAAAAGTCATATCTAAGACGATGAACACTGAAATCATGTTTTGATCAACAGCTGCCTATTTGGGTTCAAAGAGCAGTTATGGTTTCAAACAAGGGCTTTAGGTTTATATGTTTTAGGTGTCAAAATAATTAATAAGGATAAAATGTTTGGACTCAAGAACGTTTTCTTCCGTAAGAGGGCAAAGTATGAAAAAAAACTTTTGATATAGAGTGTACACTGTAACTGAGATGAGTGTTTGGGTCAAAGTCTCTAAAGCTGCTGAGTTAAGTATTTGTGTCAGTATTTCCAGCAATGTCTTACTAAAGGGTTGAGGAGACAAAAATCCATGAAAACAATTGCTTGTGGCAAACCAACCTCACTTCAAAAATACCTTCACCTGCTTTAAATTTTAAACTACATCTGACACAATCGTACAGTCACAAAAAATAATGTAGTTGAAACTACTCAGGGTCTAAGAATTCACCCGGGCACTCTTGTGTTGTCTTATAGAAAGCAATGCAAAGGCTGTATTTATATGAGTCAGACCCCAGAGTAGTACTAAAGAAGGTCAGGGTTTTTAAGGAACAGGATTCTACTATAACTAATTCTGCATTCCGGTTTCCTCAGAAGTTGGATGTCGGAGCTGGGGATGGTGTTTCACCCAAGTTGACTGCATGTTAACCGTTGTTGGCTGTACCAGTTGAAAACAACACGTAACATGGTATTTTACTCATACAAACACCATTATACCATATCCACAGTTAGACGTTGGATAGTACCTAATATATATACCACCTGCAAAACAAATAAAACAGAAGTGCATATTTCATTATGAGCACTTACACTGTTATTGTTTACTGTTGATGCAGGAAGTTGGCATCTTCCCGACCAACTTTCCAGGTCAAAAATCTGACTTCAGGGGAGCAGTTAAGATGAATTTCTGACTCAGAACTCGAAAAATCTGACTTTTCAGTACAACTGGAAGACAGCATCAGACTCCTGCAAAATTTGACCAAAATTAAGTATTCTTATCGATTATCATTGAATTTGCAGGAAACAAGGACGGCTCTGTTTGTACTGTAACCTCATAAGTGTTAATGCTTTCTGCAGTTAGTTTGCAGTATGAAAGCTGGGCAGATGCAGGGATGATATTTGGACTTGAATCTTTGTTAAAGCTGTAGATAAACTTCTAGGTGCACTTTTGCACAAAGGATAAAACAATAAAGTCATCTCAAAAGTTTTAAAAGGATGTTTTTATTTTTGATAATCATAAAAACTTAAATCACACATTTATTGTCATGTACAAACCACACTAACAGATAAGAAAGATGTCAAAAATGAAGTGCAGAGCTCCCTGTATAAAAAATCAAACCCTGTGAACCCACCAACAGCAATAACTTTATTGTGCTGTCAATGTTATTTTAACTTAACGTGAGGACATATCTTTGAGTATCTTTAACTGTCCTATAATAACATCTTTACAAAAGTAATACATTAAGCAAAAATACAGTAAAAGACATGCTTTCATAATTAGACTGTGATTAAGAAACATTCAAATGGGAAATCTTGGGGGTTTTAATGCCCTATGTATGGAGGCTATGGTCCTTGTTGCACTCTCTACACCCCACATTTCCTGCCTCTCTTTAGCTGTCTTATCTCATGAAGACAACGATGTCCAAACACATAGCTTTAAAAACAAAGAAAGATAATCAAATTATTTATTTTCTAGCTGTTTCTCAATCAATCAATCAAATTTTATTTATATAGTGCCAATTCACAACAGTCATCATCTCAAGACGCTTTTCAAAGAACAAGAGCAGGTCTAGACCACGCTCATTGTTTGATGATCAAGAACCAACCTAACATGGGTTTTGGCCCATCTCAACTAACATGAGTAGCAGTGGCGAGGAAAAACTTCCTTTTAACAGGCAGAAACCTTGGGCAGGACCAGCCTCATGTTAGACAGCCACCATGCCGCTGCTGGGTTGGGGAGGAATGTAGAGCGATGGAGGGGAGAGAGAGAGAGAGAGAGAAGAGGGGAAAGGGCAGGGGGAGAGAGACAGAACAAGATAAGGGGAAGGAGAGAGAGAATGAGTAAGGAGAGGGAGGGAGAGGGAGAGAGCGAGAGAGAGAGAGTAGAGAACGAGGGTGAGAGAGAGACAGGGGACAGCAGAAACAACAACAACAACAACAACAGTTCATGTAATGGTGAAACAAAAAAGAGTTCAGTTTACAGGGTTAAGATATGAGTGATTATGGACATTATTAAATTAATTAAATGTGATTACAGTCAGCAGGCCTAATAGTAGTCAGCTCTAGTTTTATGTTATTAATGTCAGTGAGGCTGATGTTCATGTCTGCAGTAACAGTCCAGAGGAATCCAAGAGAAGAAGGAGCTCAGGGCCTGAGGTGGACAATCATAGATTGTGGTCAACTCTAGTTTTATGTTATTAATGTTTCTGGCCAGTTATGTGATTTGTCTGTTCTTTGACGATATGGCAGTCCATTAGGGTGGCCTCTTTGAGGGGAACCTGCTCCTATGTAGATATAAAAGACCCAATTTAAGTTGGCAAAAAGTAAAACCAATTCTTAAATTCAGGTGATTACTGTACACACCAATGTAAACCAAGATATTAACCATAAACTACATTTCCAAAAAGCTGATAGAGGACTCTCCTTTAACAAATAAACATGAATAAAACCAGATTTATCCAAATCTAACTCTGCATGCTTTATTCCACTGTCACACTGACTTCAAGGGGTAAAATCATCAGTTCATCAAAACAGTCAAAAAAAGGAAACATCCTCTCAGTGAAAGCATGTGTGAAGGTGTGTATGTGTGTGTTAGTATCAGGATTAAAGAACGACAGCTTTCCTTCATCCCAGTTCAGAATCACTCTGATCCTCTGGAACTGCTCATGGACAGGGAGAACTAGTTGTGGAGCTGATGGTGAGGAGGCTATATATTCAGTGACAGAAAATATTATTTTCCACAATCCACCTTCAGTGTTTTTCTTTGTCTTAACAGACTCTGCGACAACACCCAGAGACCAGATTAAACTGTCTCCCAATACAACATCCCAACTGTGAGTCCCAGAATTAAAGCCCTCAGAGCCGAGAACAGACCAGGGAACTATATCAGTTCTGTCATCATAATCAAGTGGCTGCTCATCTTTCCATCTCCCATAGGTCAGATCTTCGGACAGACCGAGGTCTATATTAGCAGTGTTTGGGTCCAGGATCACAGGACTGTAGGAGACCTTGTCCTCCATCTTGGTCCAGATGTTGAAGCTCAGGTTGCCCAGGTGTTTGGCCTGGTCTATCAGAGCTCCTGAGGGCAGCTGTGGATCCTCCAGCAGGGGGCGCTGCTGGACTCTTTCCACTGCAGCCTTGTAGTTTTTCAGGAATGAGACATCTTCAGCTCTCAGCTGGTCCTCTGTGGCTCTGATTGTGTCTGAAAGAGCTGCTATGTCTCTGCTCAGAGCCTCCATCTGCTCCTTCATCCTCTGACTCTTCTGCTCCTCTTCCTCCCTCAGAGCTGTCAGCCTGGCCTCCTCTTCCTCCTCTAGAAACTGGTGAAGCTTCTTGAATTGCACCTTAATCTGCATCTTTGTGTGTTCAGTCTGGATCTGAATGTGTTGAGCAGTTTGTTCAAACTCCACTTTAACTTTCTCAAAAACATTTAACTTCTCTTTTAGGGGTTGAAGAGTTTCCTGAAGTTTCTTCTTGTGTTCTCCAGCAGCCTCATCGATGGGTCTGAATCTGTGGTTGGTGTGTTTTTCTGAATCTCTGCAGACCAGACACACTGGCTGCTGATGGTCCAGACAGAAAAGCTTGAGTTTCTCAGAGTGCAGACTGCAGAGATCCTCTGACGGTCTCTGATCTCTCTCCAGTAAGAAAGACTCACACAGGTTCTTCAAGACCAGGTTACAGGGTGGATATTCCTTTGAAGATCTCCTCTTACAAACCGGACACTCTTGAGTTGGTCTCTCTCTCCACCAGCTCTGCAGACAGTCTTTACAAAAGCTGTGGCTACATGACAAAACGACAGGATCTACAAAGATATCCTGACAGACCGGACAGCAGAGATCCTCCTCTGATCTGAAAGCCATTTAGTCTCTGAGTGAAAACAGCAGACAGAACCATCAGTCATGGCCTCTCCCTCTCTCTCTTTGTCCCTGTTATTCGTTTTAAGTCATTGTTGTGTTTGTCGGCAAACTTACCTTCAGTGTGTGGAGTTCCAGCAGGTTAAAGCAGCAGTGTTGTAGTTGTCCGTTTCTGTAGTTTCACTCAAACAAACCTTTCCTTTTTTTTGGAGCTGAGTCTGGTTGCCAGTCTCTCTTTTCTATGTGTCTCTTTTCAGTGACGGACAGTTATATACTGTACTCAGGTTTATCTCTGGTAAATCAGACGAGGGGTAGAGCTCTTTCGGGCATCTTGTGATAAATGCTGTTACTTGATCACAATGTTCTCATTCCACCAGCATTTCTAACCCATTCTTTTCCTGCTCAACAGGTTTCACCTGATCTTATCTGCCTGCCACTTTGGGCATTTCTTTCTTTCTTTTTTTCACCCCTGTAGCTTCCGCATACATGCATTCTCTTACCTGCAACACCCTGGTGAGGTGCAGGCAGCATGGAGACATGGCTGTGCTCTCTCAACCCAATCTTAGGAAGTGAGCCATGCAAAGCCCAAGATACTCTTGTGTTAATTCTTTAGGCCTCATCTGCTTTTTACACCTTTCAAGTGAATTAATGACACCAGATATGCCCTCTATGATGATTGGTTTTTGATTACAGTGTGGTACTCAGGATAATCTAATACTAATCTGACAAAAATTTGTTGTCAACTCCAATAATTACCCACGTTTAAGTAAATAACCAACTGGCTAACATGAAATCAAATTTATGGTGCCCTGTGTGAGGCCTCCGTTGATTTGTTTATGTCAGTCAGCTTTCTGTGTGTGTGTGTGTGTGTGTGTGTGTGTGTGTGTGTGTGTGTGTGTGTGTGTGTGTGTGTGTTTGTGTGTAGGCGTGCGTATTTGAGTGAGTTAAATTAAGAGAGTAAGGCTACAATATTGTCTTACAAAGCAGGAACACATTAACTGCACTTTCTGCTATATGGCAGAATACAGCAATACAGTGCCTTACAGACAGACTGCAATACATGCAGTTACTGTTAAAAAAGGATGTTATTGAAGAAGAAGGAAAAAAGAGATAAAAAAATGCACTTATTTACATCGTAAATACTGCTTTTGCAACACCTGCATAGATTTACCAAGAAGATCTTTATCTGGCTAGTCCAAAAGGTTTTAGCTTTTTCTAAGTTTCACTGATTGCACAGTTCCTCATGTTGCCTCTGTAAGGTAATATTTATATAGACCACAGTTCACTCTGAGGTAATATATTTACTCTCCTTTGTAATTGTTGTCTGCTCTATTTTTAAATAAAGATTTTTTTTTTTATCTTACTCTGTTCATGGTTTAAGGACTGGGTAGGGAAAATCTTTCCAAACTTTATGCAGCTCACTATAAATGCATCGATCCATTTTTTCCAACTCAGTCTGATAACAATAACAAATTGTACATTAGCACACAGCAAAAAGAAGTAAGACTTCCATGTATTAAAAGAAAAATTAATTAAAAGAAAAAAAAGACTGGATCAGAACGCTGGATCGTTGTTATTCATCAGTTATTCGATCCAGTTAATTTGTCAATGTCAGAGCCAATATCCAATCCAAACATTGGATTGGTACATCCATACAGCTTTCCTACCCCAAGATTATTTTTAAAGCAGTTCTGAGTCCAGAAACTTGAACTATTTTTTTTTTACACCTTAAACCTTATTTGAACATATCTAGAAGAACTTAAGACATCGTTATTCGTAGAGGAGAGTGTAAAGGATTTGAAACTCTTATCAGACACAGAAACAGTCATTCTGAACATCACAGTCCTTTTTCTAGCGGAAAATCGGATTATGTGGCGATCTCAGATTTAAATACACGCAAAATAAACACTGTTTTTACCGAGCAGCTTCATGCAAAAATGACTTCTGACAGCAACTTGATGGTTACACAAGTTTTAATGCAGAATTAAGCTATACAAAGCATAATGTAATGACATTATTAAGAAGAGTACAATGTGATGATGAAAAAGATGGATTTTTGTGATTTTGGTAACTAAAAGGAATGGCTATGGCTGCCACAATTTTGTTTAAAAGCTACAGTGTGTCATAATAGGATTAATCAGGGAGATCTAGCAGTCAGATACTACATTAAAACACCCCCCTCTTCTCTTCTCACCCCAGATAAAAACATGGCCTTCAAGGACAAGAGGCCCCTGTGAAGAATGATAAGTATAATCCTCATTTTGTCAGCTTTTCAACAACAAAAATTCTATTAACATCATTTTTTCTTAATTTGGACACAACAATAACACTCTTTTTCTTCCAACTTTGACCATTGTTGCTGTCATTAATATGGCTCATGTTTCAGTTGGAGGCATCTGCAACATGGAGGTGCTCTTACTAGCTATGTTGCCAGAACATGGATTGCAGGACAGGATCCAGTACCAAAGTATTCATGTTGTTTTGCTGAACAAGCTGGCGTGTTAACAAAAAAAACTCCAAACTTGTCAACAAGCAGAATTAAAATGTGCCAGAAGACTTTTCTGCTAATTGATAAAACATGACCTGGTTATCTCTGGCTTTGCTTTTGCTATACAGAGTTAACGGCTGTTGTGAAGGAGTTGTCAAGGGGTTTTGACCAATCACAATTCAGTTGTCAATTCAGCCAGGTAATTAACAAAACAGCTAAGTAAAACAGACTGATTTAAACAGCACAAAAACAAAATATTGCCAAATTCCCCACACATCAGCTTCAAAATCAATGAATGGAATGATGTTTAAAAAGTCTGTGGGCAGGCTTCCCTTTGTGGACCAAACAATAATGAGGTCAAATTAATAGTGTTCATTTCCGCCTTTGCTTTCCCACGCTTACCCACACCTTCTGTGGTAAAAGCTCCAGGTTATCATAAATACAAAAGTATGGAAACACCCTCTCAGTGAAAGTGTTTGGGAAGGACCATATACATTTGTTAGTATCTGGATCGTAGAACGACAGCTCTCTGTCACAATTCAGATACACTTCGATCCTCTGGAATTCATCATAAAATGAGAGAGGAAAAGAGGCATCTGTTGGTGTAACTGCTGTGAATACAGAATAAATGTATTTAAGTCCCCAGAACCTGGAACTTGTATTTCCCTTCCTCTTTGAAGACTCTGCTACAACACCCAGAGACCACTGTGCAAAATCTCCTACCTCAACAATCCAGCTGTGGGTCCCTGAGCCCAAGCCCTCAGAGCCTAGGACAGATAGTGGAAAATCAAACCTCTCTGGGTTATCAGGAAGCTGGTGTTCTTCTCCTTGACACACACAAGTCAGGTCACTATACAGTGTGAGCTTACTACCAGCAGTGTTTGGGTCCAGGATCACAGGACTGTAGGAGACCATGTCCTTCATCTTGGTCCAGATGTTGAAGCTCAGGTTACCCAGGTGTTTGGCCTGGTCTATCAGAGCTCCTGAGGGCAGCTGTGGATCCTCCAGCTGGGGGCGCTGCTGGACTCTTTCCACTGCAGCCTTGTAGTTTTTCAGGAATGAGACATCTTCAGCTCTCAGCTGGTCCTCTGTGACTCTGATTGTGTCTGAAAGAGCTGCTATGTCTCTGCTCAGAGCCTCCATCTGCTCCTTCATCCTCTGACTCTTCTGCTCCTCTTCCTCCCTCAGTGCTGACAGCCTGGCCTCCTCTTCCTCCTCTAGAAACTGGTGAAGCTTCTTGAACTGCTGCTTAATCTGCCTCTCTGTGTGTCGGCACTGGACCTGATTGTGCTCTGCAGCTTGTTCAAACTTTGTTTTACCGTCCTTAAAAACATTTAACTTCTCTTTTAGGGGTTGAAGAGTTTCCTGAAGTTTCTTCTTGTGTTCTCCAGCAGCTTCAACGATGGGTCTGAATCTGTGGTTGGTGTGTTTTTCTGAATCTCTGCAGACCAGACACACTGGCTGCTGATGGTCCAGACAGAAGAGCTTGAGTTTCTCAGAGTGCAGACTGCAGAGATCCTCTGAAGGTCTCTGATCTCTCTCCAGTAAGAATGACTCACATAGGTTCTTCAAGACCAGGTTACAGGGTGGATATGTTCTTGAAGATCTCCTCTTACAAATTGGACACTCTTGAGTTGGTCTCTCTGTCCACCAGCTCTGCAGACAGTCTTTACAAAAGCTGTGACTACATGACAAAACGACAGGATCTACAAAGATATCCTGACAGACCGGACAGCAGAGATCCTCCTCTGATCTGAAAGCCATTTAGTCTCTGAGTGAAAACAGCAGACAGAACAGTCAGTCATAGCATCCCTCTCATTTGTTTTGAGTCGTTGTTGTGTTTGTAGTCAAACTTACCTTCAGTGTGTAGTTAGGCTCACTCAGACAAAGCTGCATATATATGTCTTTTTAAAAATGTTTCTGGAGCTGAGTCTGGTTGTATGTCTCTCTTTTTTCTGTGTGTCTCTTTTCAGTCAAGGACGATTACTGTTCTCAAGTTTATCTCAGGTAAATCGGGTGAGGGGTGGAGCTCTATCAGCCATCCTGTGATAGATACAAGGTTTTTCATTCCATAAATACCAACATTAACCTGCTTCATTTCATTGTCAACCTGCTCTTGGGAAGTGTAGAGGAGTAAGCTGAAGAAACCCTTTTTTTTCCAACTGTATATATATATATATATATATATATATACAGTGGTGGCCAAAATTATTAGAACACCTGACAGAAATGAAAACATTGAACTTTTTTTTGCCTCCAAAACATGATTTCCTTTCAAAATGTTCATGATGCATGCAGATGGTTGCTCTGAGCACAACAAATATCAGATTAAGTGAGTCCTACTGTTTTTATCCACTTTTAACTTTAATATTTGGTATGTCCACCTTTTGCAGCAATTACAGCAGCACATCTCTCTGGCATAGTGTCAATATATTTCTTGAGAACTTGAACACTAATATTATCCCATGCCTTCTGCAACTCAAGCCAAAGGCTTTCCTTTGAATGTACAATAGATCTGTCCAGTTTATTTTCCAACTCGCCCCAAATTTGCTCAATGGGGTTGAGGTCCGGACTTTGAGGGGGCCAGTCCATCATTTTCAATGTTCCAGCAGATTCCTTCTGTCGCAGGTAGTTCCGGCAATACTTAGAAGAATGTTTAGGGTCGTTGTCCTCTTGGAAAATAAATCCAGGCCCAATAAGACGACTCCCAGATGGTACTCCGTGCCTCACCAGAATGTTGTGGTATACTTTCTTATCCATGATGCCATCAATTTTCACTAAGTCACCTGTTCCTGAGGCTGCAATGGCACCCCACACCATAATACTACCCCCTCCGTGTTTAACTGTTGGCAAGAGACACTCATTTTTATATCTCTCCCCCTCCCTCCGTCGAACATACACTCTTCGCTTGTTGCCAAACTGTTCAAATTTGGACTCATCAGTCCACAACACTTTATACCAATCTCCCTTTGTCCATTTCTTGTGTTCTTTAGCGAATTTCAGGCGTTTCACTCTATTTTTCTCTCTCAGTAATGGTTTCTTTGCTGCTATTCTGCCAACAAGTCCTTCTTCTCCCAGTTTCCGACGCACAGTTCTTGAAGACACTGTTGCACCATTAGTCATTGTGGTGTTGATCTCGTCACGCAGTTCTCGTGAGGTCTTTCTTCGGTCCTTAAGACTGAGAATTTTGAGATGCTTCACTTGTCTGTCAGAAAGTTTCTTTTTTCTACCTCTCCCCTTTCGGTTCTGGTGTGAATTGGTGGCATCATGGCGGTCTAAAGTGTACTTTACAGTGCTTGGACTGCATCTCAAGTCCTTGGCTATGCGGCGGTAACTCCAGCCAGCATCAAAAAGGGCCTTTATTCGAACCCGCTGCTCACTCGTTAATTCCTTCTTCACCTTAGCCATGTTCAAAGAGCAACATGAGCTTCAAGACTACTTCTAGAGGCTTTGAATTTATACCAATTGGTGGTGTGGCCTCAGTGACAAAACCCTCATGTTACCAATCACTTAATGAGCAGGATAGGCCTTGTACGTTCAAAAGAATCACACAGCTGTGTCCTAAGACTTGCATCACCATCAATTTAACCACGATCACACCTGAGAAGGATTACACAAGTAATTTGGCTGCTTCTGTGAAGGAACATGATTGTGTGACACTGACAGGCCTTGCTTGTTTTTTGTATGGAAAATGACCTAAATCTCCTTATGATGGCTCTATTCTAGGGTTTATAGAGCAAAATGATGACTTTGTAGATATTTAATTTGTTTTATGGGTATTTTAATGGCCAACTCAACAAAAACAACTGAAAATTCTTAAATATGCCAAGTGTTCTAATAATTTTGGCCACCACTGTATATATATATATATATATATATATATATATATATATATACGTATATATACGTATATATATATATATATATATATAGTGTTTCTAGATTTTCAGAGATTGACTGGACCATCAGCAGATTGACAGGCACTGTCAACCAGTTAGTCTCTGAGTGAAGCAGACGGAAATGTTAATGTCAGAGGGAGAGAAGCCATGGCTCACTGTTCTTTCTGAAGTTCATTTTCACTCTCAGTTGTGTCTGTAGTCAAACTCAACTACAGTGTTGAAGTATTTCTGGAGCTGTGTGACTTTTCTCAATCGGAAATAAAAAAAGTGTTTCCTCATTTCTCTCAAGTAAATCAGGTGAGGGTGGAGCTTTGTCGGACCTTTCAGAGATTCGAAGACCAATGAAAGTGAGCCATCTCATTCCAAGTCAAGAGTGTGAATCCCTGATCAGAACAGGGATTCACTTGTACATGATCTGCTTGAGTGAATTGTCCCTGTAGTGCAAACACAAAGTTTTAACAGATTAAAGACCCACTCTGATTGTTTTTTTAATAGTTTTTATTTTATTTTATAAAGTGTTATCAGTGGTTTTTAAATCGTGATAATGAAGTTTTTAGCCAAAATCGTGTTACCTGTGTCATTTTCAAGGACTTTTCTTCTGCAGAGCTCCTGTAGCTCATTGGCAATTCACCTCTGAGTTGTGGGCGGAGACAGCACTGCTCTGCACACTCCTCTTCACGCTAGCTTGTAGCCTAACATTGTTGGTGCAGCAGAAGTGGCAGGTCACATAGGAGGTATTCAGCTCTGAGACACTAATGTCTTTGGAGGCATGATGAAAGTTATTATTATAATTAGCTCTCTTGCAAGCATTGCAATTTGCTAATGCACACACTGCCATCATTCTCTCTACATCTCAAAGTCTGGCCTGCAGAGAAAATCTCACGGTGTCTGAACCATAGCCTGTATATAGAATGGACGCCATCTGCCTCCTCGCTGGGTGAAGCCATCCCGAGAACAGCACCCTCTGGTGACAAACTGCAGTTTAGGTCAAAAATCCCGCCCCCTCCAGCAATCCCTATGGAGCTGTGAACAAACTTTAAAAATTTATTACACAGAATATACATTTTTCTTCCCCCTGCTTGTGATTTTGACATGTAGTTACTATCAGACTGGTTTGTGCTCTAGTCCTTTTTTCTGTACAGCTCTATTTTTAAAAGTTATTAGGGGGTTCATGTTTTCTATGATTGACACAAAGATTGCGTAGCTCGTCCAGGAAATATGCTGTTTGAGCCGAGCGTCATCACAGTGACTCTACCGCTGAAAGCGTACAATGCTACTGTGCAAGTGGTGGAGTGCGTACAACGCTACTGCACAATGTTGATTTTAGGAAATGGAGAAAAAACTGGAAATACCGAGAGCTTTTAGCCTTCAAATCCATTCGGAAGGTGGAACCATGTCGTCCATAGTATATACAGTCTATGGTCTGAACCTGCCGTTTGGGTCTGTGAGAGGATTCAATTGATTTCAATGCAGAAATTTTCAGAAATGCAGTGTTGCTCTTAGTTATCTCCCAATATGTCCTCTAGCATCATAAAAATATCAGATGAACACATGGACCACAAGAAAAAGTTAATTTTCATCAGAGTGGGTCTTTAAGCACCACAACGTTGTTTGGTGATGCAGGGTCCAGGTAGTTTCCCATGTTTCTGTGGGACCACAGTGGCTTTTGCACATGATACCTGATATATGTTAAATAAACAAGATCAATGAGCATAAAAACCACACAACACATCCATCACAAATGAAATACACTTTAGGATGTCTGTGGTTTCATTCCCCCAGAGATGTTTGTAAACACTGTGAACACACTTCTCTCTTTTTCCTTGTATGTCACTTTGCACCTCCTTTTCTCCTCCTCCTTCTGCTCCTCTGTGTTGCTGAGAACTGAAAAATCACAGCGATGTTAGGTTTGTGAAGCCAAAGTCTGCATACAACAACACTTGCATTGCCTGGGTCGCCATGGTGACGTACTCTAAGCTCACAAGGTGCAAAGGATGGGAGCGGTTGTCATAGAGCAGGCTTAGAGTCAGCAACACCTTCACTCTGCTGATCACACTCTCAGAGACACACAGCTTTGACAAACACCTGAAGTCACTTGATCACCATAACTGTGTCTCAGCCTCAAACTCAAAGGCTGATATGTTTTATATTAAAATTAGAGGTTAAAAACTTACCTTCTCAAACTTTTGCCAAACAATTCAAATGTCAAACACAGCTGAAGTACCTTTACGTCAGTTCAGAGTCTTTCGTGGTGAAGTCTCATCAGGTGAAGTTTCCTCTTGAGATGATGTAAGAGAAGGAGAGCACGGAGGCCATGTCCGTCTTGTTCATTATTCAGATGAAAATAAAAGCCTTTCCCTGCTGATTTCTTTATTTTGAACGATTTTGGCAGCAGGGCGATGGGACACTCACAGAGTTTCTTTTCCTGATGCTGTTCAGAGTTATAGCTTTGTTATAAATTGATTAACGTTTGAAAATAGCCTGTTAAGGAACGCTCCTTGCTGGGTTCCAGCTGGGCTGGCGTTGTGATGTGATCATTAATTTGTATTAGAGAGATTTTCAAACACCGGTGACTCCTCCTGTATTGTTTTTTGACAGTGAACTGGGAGGCGATCATAAATCATACTTTTGTGGTACGACGCGGTACAAGATGTCCGTCCAAAAGCAATTCATCATATTAATAAAAGTGTCAGCTCTGTGCTCTTTATATTTTCACTTCTTCTTCCCTCTGAAATTGAAGATGGAAGAGTAAATCTGAAGATTTAAAATGTGCAGATTGAAATGAACAGGAGGAATGACAGCAGTGAAAATGTCACTTTTATTCTGACTTCGTTGGACAGTGTTCAGTAACAAGTTGAAATGACT